GATGTTGGAGCTAACAGAATTGAAGAAAAAACTATAGAAAATAGGGTATTTCCTGGAACTCTAGTGACTGGAATCAGGGCCTTGCTGCTGCTAAAATGGTCTCTATTTCTTTCTCTGCTGATTTCTGGCTCATCTTTATCCTCTGTGGTTTTACTGTTGATGAAATTGTCATCCTATACCTTCCCTGTTCCCTCCAGGATAAAATATTGGAGAAGGACCTCAGAAGGCTGCACTTTGGTGATATGCATATCTCTGGAATAGTCACTGTGGCCAGAGAAAGGGGGTACTATGTGGTTATTTGGTCCAATGAGTCATGTTGTGGAAGGAGCCCTGGGAAAAGGCAAAGGCCACCACAGCATTCCGGGCAGTAGGGATACCATGTGAAAGAAACAAAGTCCAGGAGGGTTGAAAATGAAGTTTTAGAAACAGCAAATGGTTTAGTGTGGCCAGAATACTTGAGGCATGTGGGTCATGTGAGTAGGAAGAAGACAGAGATAAAGATGGAAAGGGTAAGGCAGGCCTAACCTTGAAAACCCTTTCAAGTAATGCCAAGGCAGTTTTCTTTTGTCTTCCAGGCAAAGGAGACACTGAGGTTTTTGTTTGTTTGTTTCAATCAAATAACTTTTATTATGTGCAGCACTATTTTAAAAACCTTTTTACCTTTATAGACATGGTTTTCTCTGTGAAACCAGAAAAGAGAATTTGAGCAGCTGATTAAAAAAAAAAATAAGATAGCAACAAAAGATGCATCTCTTTCACTTACACACTTAGAAACCTCAAAATATTGATGTTTTCTGATAATATATGTCCACCTTATGATAAATGTATTTTTTCTAGATTCTATTACATATGTGAAGGGCTAACACATAAAAAAGACTAGAGAAAATACATGCAACTTGGATAAGGAGAGGAAGAAACTCTGCTATCCACAAGTAAATCTTACTTTGAGTTTTGGGAAGACTTAAGTTTCTATTACATTCTGTTATTGTCCCTTCACTTAGGTAAGTGAGACAAGTATTTTATAGAAGATTTTAAGTGATGGTCCAGAAGTCACAACTGGGATTTTGATCACTGAGTTTTTATTTTTAGCTTTTTTTCATTGAAATATAGCGTATCTATAGAAAAATGTAGAATAACATAAATACCTCTCGAGAAGCAACTGAAAAGCATTTAAAGAACATGAGGACAAGTTTAGATTCTGTGCTTTTGAAATTAATGACAGATTTAGAAAGAGACAACGGGTGAGACTTCTTGAAAGAGTTCCAGAAGGAGTTAAAAGTCTAAATCAAGATATTATTTTAAAGAGAAGACAAAACATTTAGTTTCTGAACTATATATATAATTTCTAAGGAGAAATGTAGAACATTGGCTATTGGGTCTGAAATATTTTAGTTAAGAAGTTCATTTAGTAGGTACAAATACATAAATTTAGAAAGTGTCCTTAGCACTTTTTAGGTTTTTAAAAACTTAATGTCAAAGAAGTCTAACATTAAGAAAATTTGCTCAGAAGAATTTTTCTTTAGATAAAAAGAAGTATTGTCACAAGGAAAATTCAGTGAGAATTACCTCTGATTGATGTGGATTCAGCTCTAAAATGTAATCAACAATACTTATGAATCCTGAATGTTCTTTACTTCATTATCTGTTTAATTTTCCTCCTGCAAATATCATGAGCACTGAGAGGATCATGTCAGTTATCTGTTCCAGTTAATTTCACAAGAAGATAGGGAGAGAAGCTCAGCAGATGGTACAACCTTTGCTTTGAGAGTCGACTGGGTTAAGCGGTCACTCTGTGGGCACCTGTCTTTTTGTTTGAAGCTCACTGAGAGTAGGGAAATGATTGGCCTCTTTGGCCGGTCAACCTGTTCTGTGAATCTACTTGCATGGCAGAATTATATGGTGGCAAGAATGCTAGGCTGGGAAACATAAGATACTCATTCTGTACCTATCTAATCCTAATCAAATTTTTAAATTGTAAAAAAATAACAAGGGGCCAGGCATGGTGGCTCACACCTGTAATCCCAGCAATTCAGTTTGGGAGGCCAAGGCAGGGGGATCATGAGGTCAGGAGATCGAGACCATCCTGGTCCAACATGGTGAAACCCCCTGTCTACTAGTGTGTGTGTGTGTGTGTGTGTGTGTGTGTGTGTGTGTGTGTGTGT